TATATCTCATATGACAGTTAAAGTTATCACAAACTCTGCCTTCTTCCAGCCTCTTGTTTATTACATTTTTTCTTCCTGAAAATGTCAATGGCCTCCCTAATCTTTAGTTTTTTTGCGTTTTCACTATGAGGCCCTTCTTCTTGTTTCTTTCCAATTAACCTCGTGTCAAGTCTGGGAAGTGTTCCGCTATATCCGACCTTTCAATATCCATCTTTCTGCAGACCTTATGATGTTTCTTGATTCTTATACTGATTTTTTCCTTGTTTCGCCAATATATTTTTGTTCTCAGGCACCGCATGCTATGTAGTAAACTCCCGAGCAATCCTATTTTTATACCCTCATGTTGCGTGGGTAGACTCGTAGTGTCGTATTTTCGTTCGTAATCACCTGGAAATTTTGCTTTCCTTGTATTGTTCGTAGTTTTTGAGCTATTTTCATGAGCTTTTCTCCATCTTTATCCTTCTTTCATAATCCCCGCCTTGTTATCGGCTATTTAAGACCAGTATGCTTCATTGTATTATCTACTCTCGGTCATTCGTTGCCGAGGAATATCCAAGTCAATTTGTCTAATTCTTCATCTCAGAATTCTACGTCCGTCTCGCTTCTGATAATCGTGCTCCTCAGTATTATTATCTTCAATCTGTAGTTATGATGAGACTCGAAATTGATTATTATTATGGAATGAATTCTTTCGGAAAATTTTTATCCTGAGTGTATCATTAGAACGAATTAATTCAACAAATAGGAAAGAAAAACGCCCCTTTTATTCGACTTCTATTATGGACTTGATTCTTTCATCACTCAGATTTATAAAACCCAGGTAATCCTTCAATGCATGAAGGCAATGCCTAATATCCACAAGCATGAGAATCAGAGCCTAGGCGGTCTGCACATGAATCATATCCGGCCAGAAGGCTCCAGTCGGATCAGCCATCCGAAGGGAGGAGTGGGGGCAAGGCAAATATCAAGTGTGATGACGCCAAGGTAAATTCGCCAAAAGAGCACACCTCTTAAGGAATGGAATATAAATAAGTCAGAAGTTGTGATAAGACGAGTTCAAGACAAGAGAGTAGGGAATAGAAAGAGGGGTCAGGACAAGAAGAGCGATAGCACAACCGTTTCGGCAAAAAAGTGGTCAAGGTATTGATTTCACTTGTCTCTGACGCATTGTATCTTGGTACTGAGAATGGCGTGACTCGCTGATGATGCCGGTGAAACGTCTGAGAATGTACTAGGTCCAACCTCTGACGTTGGGAATTATGATTACTACTAAAACAGAGGACTTCGTACAAGGTATGTCCGACTAAATCTTCCTATAACAAGACCAAGTGGCGAAAACAAGGTCAACCAACTAGTATATATTGAAAGTAGACTTCGACCATACCAAGGGTCACACCATCTTGGTCTTCATATTTTCGATAAAAAAGATCACATTAAAAAATTTGACAATATTTTAATGATGGAATCAAATAAGAACGCCTTATATTTAAATAAAAATCCATCAATGTAAAAGTTTACTTTCAATATTGACGACCATTTCGTATTTTCTTCTTTCGAATTTACGATGATATGAAGGCGGACTTGAGCAAGAGGGTTTGTAGCCGGACCTGGCCATTTAGGTGTGGCTTCATCTGTAGAACCTCAGAGGGAAAAATGGACAGATGGATTGAGCAACAATGGCAAGGCTTTACTTAAAGTTATATGCATTATCGATATAATAACTGTCTTGCACAAGTCTACCTCAGAGGACGAACAAATTTACTTGTGTAAAATGTGAAACATTATTATTTCCAAGAAGTATGAATCCAAAATGTATTTAGATGTTTATCAGGAAAATAAAGGATCCATTCAATTTCTTTAGATTGTCAAAAATAATAATTCAGGGTGTACATTATTCTCAGTGAAGTTAAAGTAACTTAAGCTAGGAAAATAAAAAATGTATGATAGGACTGTTTTAATTGGGAGACGAGAAAGAGATGGTCATTTAAGAGACAAAATAGAGATTAGGATAAGTAATTAATAGTTTGACCGGTAGATAAAGCTGGAGTGGGCACATTGGTGCAAAAATCAAAATGTTATTCTAACTGTCACTTTAGTTGCAGTGCTAAAGTGCATCCTAAGTTGGATATGCAGATGTTTTTATACTGTAATGCCGTGGCCAAATAAAGAAACTTATTCTCGACAGGTACCGCAGAATTGCGAACGTTTTGGCAATATGAAAGACAGACAGTAACGCAACCGAGTTACATAGATAATAAAAAATAAATAAGCTGGTAGAAGTTCGAGCCCCTTTTCTTATACCCTAAAAAATAGTGGATAACAGAGTGGAATTTAGCTGTAATGCAGAAAGATCGCCTTTGAGAACAGATAAGCCTTAGTAATATCGTTATATATAGAGTATGAGTTGCAAATGTTGACTCACTAGTACGAAGAGCAATTAGGGCTTGACGTAACTGCATGGCTGCATCAACAGCTTGGCATAAACTATCCTCCTGGCTCTCAATAGAGTAAATCTCAGGGCACGAAGCCTCCTGTAAGTTTCGGTGTGCTTGGGTCCATGAACGGATGACATCTTGCATCGCAGACCAAACGGAGACATATGAGACTGCGGAATCTTGAAAAGGATCGACGTGACTCGATAACCGCTCTAAAAGCGATGGTCGAGAGGTAAGCTAATAAATAGAAATTTAGATATCATCATTGTAGTACATTGCGTTAAGACATAACTGGCATAAAGTACAAATATAAACGTCTGCATTGGTAGAAAATCAATATCGAGTCTTTCAACAGCCACATGGAAATTCCCACTTCTTATTTAACAAATAATAAAAATTAAGTTAAATTAGAAGTGGGTTGACCTCGCTGTCGCAACTTGGTCTTGTTGTCAGGGGGACTATGTGAAACGCAATTAGTCTGAAGTCGTCTGCCATAGTAAGTGTGTAAGTGTTTTCAGCAGGTTTGTTGAGGCATTGACTTCACTTGGCTCTTTGACGAGTTCGTAGCTTTGTGCAGAGAATGGCAAAACACACTGATGATGCCGACTACGATGCCGGCGAAACGTTTGAGAATGTACCAAGTCCACTGTCAGATGCTGGGTATCATAAAAACTATGCAGACGACTTCGGACTAGGTGCGTTCTACATAGTCGCCCTGGCAACAAGACCAAGTTGCGACAACGAGGAACGACTTCGGACTAGGTGCGTTCTACATAGTCGCCCTGACAACAAGATCAAGTTGCGACAACGAGGTCAATTCACTTATATAAATAAAAAGGAGACTGCGACCATACCAGAGGCCACAACATCTTGGTCTTCGTATATTAAGTTAAATTAATTTATTTTTTGAATTAACGGTCTAAGATATTTATTTGTATGCGCATTTTATAAGCTGCCAGCAAAATTCTTGCATCTACCTTTTTAAACGGGCAAGGAAATATGAGAGCTACTATCCAAAAGTTGAAAAAAATTGCCAGTGATCAAAATAAGGAATACGCAGAGAATCAAATCATCGTATGGTGTTTCATAACAAAAATAAGTAGGTATGTTGTTCTTTGTTGCATCCTTATTCCTTATATTTTGCTTCCAGTGATAAATATATTTTTTCATGAGCGTCTGAAAAAACTAGCCGATCTTGAAATCACGGTCAACTCTGGATTGGAATGGCCTTTTGAAAAGCTTTTCAAAGGGAAGTTTAAATCCTTATGTTTAGTTCATCTTGTAATGTAAAAATTGTTTATAACTCTAAAGCTATTAGGTTAATATAACTGTGTATTACTGGCAACAGGAAGGATTTTTTCATTTGGACTTGTCTAAATAAATCAGAGCTAGAAAAAGTATTGTTTAGATAAATTGAAAATTCATCCAATATTGCATATATTAGGCATCGATAATTAGTAAAGGTATGAATAAAATACAAGTGTTTTAGGGCGATCAAAAAGCAGCTCTGATATGGAATTAGTATGGACTGTAAACATAAGAATGTGGAATCTTACTGGGACAGATCTGGCTCGAGCCTGCTGCATATGTCCAGCTTCTTCTAATTCTTCCGTAAGATATGCAAATATAGGAGCTAGTCCTGCCTTTAAACCTTCTACGCTGAGCCAAAACACACCTTGAGTAGCTCGACGTCGAGGGCTGTTGGGTGGGTCACAGTAGAGCCTTTCGGGAGTATTGTTCATGAGTTAAAAATGTCATAGTTCATTTAACGAGCATAGAGTAGAAAAATAAAAAAAGACTGTACGCATGTAGGCTAGAGAGTATACATAATAGAATTTTACCGAAGTGCCTCAGATGAAATTTCCATGTCTTATAAAATTTAACTCATTTTTGCTTACGGGTTTAATTAAAAAAAGATTATATAAACAATAATGAATCTAAGAGATAGAAAATGGCAAATAGACTGAAAAGGGACCCAAAATTAATCGAAGGTATTTCAATTTTTGCAAAATCTGAATGATAACGAATTACGGCCAACAAATCATGCAATTAGAAGTTTAATATTTTAACAAAATGTAGATCAAAACATAACGCCAATAGACATTAAAATTTTTAAAATTTAAGCAACTAATCATAAATAGACAAAGGCATAAGAAAATAAATAAGAGCCAGGACAGATCTAAATAGTCTTTGCCTCTTCATACCAATGCAGAGGCAATCCAAGATAATGCTTCCATGAAAG